TCGCCCTCAGGCTAGGACCTCCACTGGAAGTGGGAGCACACGGGAAAGACAGCTGACACAGATAATCATAACGACAAAGGTCAGGAGCAAACACACGACGAGAGACTGTCAAAGTAAAACAGGAAGTACACAGAAGTGCAGACAGGAGGAGAGAGAGAGCACGGGGAGGGCACAGACATAACGGGCTGGGGGAAAACATGGAATAAAACACAAAGAGGGGAAACGAGGGCTCACAGATACATAGAGGGGGCACACAGGGGGTAAAGTCACGAGGGGAAATCTAATAAGCAACAGTTTGACAGAACAACCAAGGAACCATGGCATAAAAGAACAAAATACAAAAACACACGAAAATTAAGAACGCTGGGTCAACATGACCCGGGATCATGACTAACAGAGCTATTATCTGTCTGTTATGTCAGTCAGATTTCCCCCAGATAGTCTTGGTTCAGATCTGGTAACTGAAAGCCATGGTATATGATCACACCATTTTCATAATCAACTATTCAATGACCCCTCTTCAAATACTTTGTCACAGGGCAAACATAATCTCTCAAAGCAACTTTGTAATGATTTTACAACTCTTTTACCTTTGACAAGTGGACCCTAACATGGCAGCAAAGTGCAACAATGTCTCTCCGCCTGGGAGTAAAGAGTCCACGGCATGCCTTTAATTTCTTGCATGTCTGTAAATAATCCTTCTCATTTTACCAGTATAAAAGTAAAACAATTACATTGTCTCATCGGGGCAACCTAAAAGACCCATTTTATGGCTAGTCTTTGCACATCATAATAACACAGAAGAGAAGAAAGCAATTCATTCTCGACTGCTGTTAATTTCAGGGGATTTTCCAACTTGTTTTGGCTCAAAAGAGCCAATGGAAAATTCTCATCGATGTTAGAGTGAAAACCACAGAATTTTATTGTATATGCACTGATAATGCTTACTGTCCTGTCATTGTAAACCAGTCAAAATACATAAATAACACATTGTTATCATGCTGAAGATCACAGACGGCAGTCCAGGCGTCAGGTGGGATAAAGGAGCTGGAAACTAAGCAGCAATTAGACAGAATACAGTAATTAAGTACATTTTCACTGCTATGCAGATGACACCCAACTTTATCTGTCCATGAAGCCAGATAACACACACCAATTAGTTAAACTGCAGGAATGTCTTAAAGACATAAAGACCTGGATGGCCGCTAACTTTCTGCTTCTTAATTCAGATAAAACTGAGGTTATTGTACTCGGCCCTGAAAATCTTAGAAATATGGTATCTAACCAGATTCTTACTCTGGATGGCATTACCTTGGCCTCCAGTAACACTGTGAGGAACCTTGGAGTCATTTTTGACCAGGACATGTCCTTTAATACACATATTAAACAAATATGTAGGACTGCTTTCTTCCATTGACGCAACATCTCTAAAATTATAAATATCCTGTCTCAGAGTGACGCTGAAACACTAGTGCATTTGTGACCAAATTGGTCGCACTCTAGAGCCCTGCTATGTACGATATCCTATATTAATGAACTTATGCATATTCATGTAACCACAAAAAAAGGAGCGCTACAGGGAACCTGGCTGAGAGTCCAACAGAGGTCAAGTGGGCGGAACGACATCTGGCTCCAGTCGGGTCCCCCTCGTGCATGAGCAACACAAAGAGCTCTGCTTGGTGTTCAATACTTTTTGCTGTAGCAGTTGAATTGTCTCGTTCCAGCAGTGGATCTGTGCTAGACAGACCCATCAAGAGCCTTCAGTTTTCAGGCCCTTCTTCTGTGGAACCAGCTTCCAGTTTGGTTTTGGGAGACAGACACTATCTCTACTTTTAAGATTAGTCTTAAAACGTTCCTTTTTTGCTAAAGCTTATAGTCACGGTTGAACCAGGTAACCCTGTATCCTCCCTTAGTTATGCTGCAATAGACGTAGGCTGCTGGGGATTCCCATGAAAGAAGTGAAATGAAGTTGAAGTCACAAAAAAGAAATGAAATTAATATTTAGTAGATCCTCCTTTTGCAGAAATAACAGCCTCTAAACGCTTCCTGTAGGTTCCAATGAGAGTCTGAATTGTGGTTGAAGGTATTTTGGGCTATTCTTCTTTACAAAACATCTCTAGTTCATTCAGGTTTGATGGCTTCCGAGCATGGACAGCTCTCTTTAACTCACACCACAGATTTTCAATAATATTCAGGTCTGGGGACTTTGATGGCCATTCCAGAACGTTGTACTTGTTCCTCTGCATCAATGCCTTAGTGGATTTTGAGCAGTGTTTCGGGTCGTTGTCTTGTTGAAAGATCCAGCCCCGGCGCATCTTCAGCTTTGTCACTGATTCCTGTACATTGGTCTCCAGAATCTGCTGACATTGAGCAGATTCTGGATACTATTTTACTTCCAAAATTAAGTTAATGATTTGTTCTACCTTTGTGGCTTGTTTGTAGTGACTATTGAATGCTCTGACACACGGCCTTATCATATTCTGTACAGATTCCTTATTTAACACAACAATAATAACTGCTCCTGAGTTCTGTGCCTGAGTGCAGTTATTAATCACAGATGCATACTGTACATGGGTGCAACTGAGCTTTGCCTGAGCTCTAATACAGATCACTTAAATCAACCATTGTTGGAATGTCATGTATTTCTAAGAGTTCACTGTATTTTTTTTCTCACTTCCTTTCTCTCTCTGGCTTCTCGCTTTCTCTATTGCTCTTGTTGTGAAAGTTTTCCATTAAATAAAGCCTGCAGACAAACGATGAGTGGTAGCTAGCATTCTTTAATCACAAAACAAAGAACAGAATACCAAGCTTGGTGGAGAGCATGCATGATCGCGGGGCAAACGGTCAGCAGATTCTCTCCCTGAGCCTAGCATGGCTCTCAGTTTAATACCTTCTCGAGGAACAAAAGGCAGTACACAGCTGTTTCACACATTAAGATTCACACTCCCTCGCTCCCTCCCAGAGTCATCAAAGAGACAATAGACTTTTTCCGTGGAGTTGTCCTCCAACTTCCTTACCAGACCCCCACCGTCTGTCTGTCTGTCAACTGCATGAGTGTTAGACATGCTAAAATCCAGTGGCACTAAGGCATAATCATGATAATACAATAAAATAATTTGAATAATACATAAGTAAAAGAAATTCTTATACACTCTAAAGCACCTTATGTTTTGGGCATGTCTAGTAGATGTAGTCAACGGCTTGTTTTATAGATTACATCATTAACAAAGCAAATTTCAGTTGTGTCAGGGCTTCGTGCGTGGAGGAGAGGAAGGGATGACCCAAACGCAGGACTCACAGTGAAAACTGGTGTTTATTGCAGATGGAGTGAATGAACAGAACAGAAGCACGAAATTGTGGGCTGGCTGGCTGGCTGACTGACTGACTGAGTGACTGATTAAATGAGCAAAGCATACGGCAACAACCTAACATCAACAACAACATCAATGTCACGACCATGACCAGGATGAAACTGAGGACTTAAAAATACAGACGGAATGATTAATGATTAGAGACCGGTTAGTGAACAGCTGAACATAATATAACTAATGATACATAGACGTAACAGGAACAGAACAACAGGAAATGAGAATAAGAAAAAGAAAATAAACTGAACCTGAACTAACTGAAAACACTGGGTGAATGACCCAGGAACCCTGACATTGTGCTGCTCAATGGCATCTGATGGGCATGAGTTAAGTAGAACATTCTGCAATATGCTACATAAGTCATGCCTGGCTCTACTTCTTTTCATCCATCCAGTCCACTGATCCGATTTGTTCTTTATCCCAAAGTCAAACCAAAAGAACAGCTGTTCTAATGAGTGGTAACTGCTGCTAACAAGTTGCTACTCATGAGTGGGATTAATGCCATTTCGTGAACATCTGCACATTCTGTATTGTATACTGGCCAAACAAACTAAATAGCTTTGCTTGTCTGATTGGCCAACAGGGCTACCTTTCCCTCCATACCACCTGAAGGCCGTGCTTGGGAACTCTCTGCTCCTTTGTGTTTTTCTTTCATAAACTTGGAAAAACAAACAAACAAACATAGAATGTTACAGTCTTACAAGAACACTGTATACCAGGGGAGCTCTTTTGGTGGCCCTCCTTTTGGGCTATTCACTTCAACTCCTATTCCACAGTATTTCTGCTGCTACATCAAAAAACCTTTTCTGTACAAACTGAAACACAAATACAAAACCAAATTAACATCTATTAGGCAACCTCAGAGGGCTCCATCTCCATTCCAATGTTTTGTTTTTGTGAGAATGCCCTTAACTTTACATAATGAATGCTTAATTGGGATACACTGAATGTTTTCTTCTGCTCATTCTTTCTGAAATGACAACTCTTTGCTAAGATGCTAATATTCTTTATTATTGACACAGACAGGAAAACTAACAACTTGAATTTACAGCTTTGCAGCAACACAGTATTAAATTAAGAATAAATAACACGAGCAAACAAACAAAACAACAGCAAACAAATGAATTAAAAATGCATTTAAGAAAACAGAACAACAGTGATCCCTTAAGGTGGTTTATATTTCATAGTAAGGAGAAAACCCCAGATAATATCTTATAATTGTTTATATGTTATCACAATAGCACGGCATAAAGTCCATGTGGATTATGTGCATCATTATTCAAGTTATTGTTTGTTTTTTGTGTTCAACAAAAATAATATTGGAAACATATCCCTTAGTGAGACAATGCTTACAACTCATGTAGCCATGTGTGTATTGTATACAAGTATGTAAATAGCAGTATAGTATATTTAAAGAAATCTGAATAACAAATACACTAAAAACAATAACCCCCCCCCCCCCAAACAAATACAACCTCTATCTTAAATATATAGTATACATATATTATGCAAAAATAATAGATTTCTATAATATATATCGCAGACAGAGAAAAGACAACTTCTATATTGTGAAAAATAATACACACATGAACACAACAGTTAAATTAAACATCACATCTACATTACACCCTTTCAACATGAGCTTTGCCAGATGTTGAGTTTTCCTTCACAGAACAATTTCGTGAGGTGTTTAGAGATTTCTTTCATTTTCAGTCCATAAACAATTGGATTAAAAAGAGGATGATATGAAACCACTTGTAAGGTCAATATAAAACGTGCAACTTTTGGCAAATTCATTTCTAGTCGAGCTACAATTATATCATATGAACACAAACCTGAAAAGCTGACTAATACAAGCAAGTGAGGTAAACAAGTCTGTGCAGCTTTTTTCCTGACCTCCCTGCAGCTCTGATAGCATATCATAAATATTTTTGTGTAAGTAAAAAGTATAAAAAGCAAAGGAAGAAATACGGTGTTAAGTAAAATAAACACACCATATATGATATATGTTGTTCTTGAGGTGTCACAGTAAAGCTTGGAAATTGCATTATTACAAAAGATTCCATTCAAAGTAAAACTGCAAATTTTATAACTCTGACTCATTACAACTGATGGCACAAGCTGACAAGCAGGCAGAAGCCAAGCTAACCCTAGTAAAATTATGATAGTTGTTTTTTTCATGATGGTTGTATATTGCAGGGGTTTGCATATAGCCACATACCTGTCATATGCCATAGCTGCTAATAGAAAGAACTCTGATCCTGTTAGAGAATAATAAATAAATGCTTGAAAGCTGCATAGTGAATGAGTTGTGATCTGCTTGTCTGATAAAAAGTCAATCAAAAGTTCTGGGTAGATATTAGTGCTAAACATAACTGAGTTCAGTAACAACCCTGCAATAAAAATATACATAGGCTCATGCAGGTTTTTCTTGATCCATATGAGACACAATATAGTTGAATTGCTGCAAAGTATTAGAATATATGCTGTAAACATGATGGCAAAATACAGAAATCTGTATTTGTTCAATTCAACATGCCCACCAAAAGTTATATATGTCACATTAAATTGATCATTCATTTGGTCCATAAAAATAAATGGTCACTAAAGCAGGCTGGATATAGAAGTCACACTGTGAGGATTTCCTCAAAGTACAGCCACTTCGAGACTGTAATTTATTTGAGCTGGACACTGCCTTAACCTCAATGGATCTCATTAAACCCTCCATGTGAACAAACAACTTCAAAAAAAAAAGTTAGCTAATCATTAGACTCAGACTCAAAGAGTCAAGAAGTTTATTGTCATTTTGTATGGTGTTACCCTGCCTGAAATGAAAAACTGTTTCTCACCAGCCTCTACAGTGCAAAAAACAATACAGTACAGTTAACACTTTAAATACAGTTTAAAAAGAATAAGTTTAAAAAGAGCATTAAAAAAACGCAGTAATGAATTGCAACAACAGTTATGGATAAATAACATAAAAAGTTCTAACACAAACTCAAGCTACATTTGTTCTGGTAGATAGCAGCAGTCCTTTCGCAGAATGGGATGGTTAAATTAGGTAGAGTGTATATCTAGGGAGTATATTGTATGTGTATATGTGTGTGTGCGTGTGTGTGTAGGTAGGTGGCATTACAGTCCATTTGTTGACCTCACAGTGTAGCTGTGTGAATAGCTAACCAAACCGACTGCAGGGAAGGTAGCAGCGGCGATGAACAGGTCCAGAGGCCGGCCGCAGGGAATGCAGTGGCGGCGACGAAATAGGTCTGGAGGCCGTCTGTGGAGAAGGCAGCACCTGCGACAAAACAGGTCCGAAGGCCATCTGCGCTGGCGAAGAAGTCCAGTCAGAGGCCTGGAAGGTGGCCTCCAACTCTGAGCCTGACAAGGCAGTGGCATGGCAACCGCAGGGCCACACGAGGCACGGCAGCCGCAAACGATTGAGCAGGTGGTGGCCCTGCAGGCTGGATGGATCCCTCGGACCCTCCAGCGTAGACTACAGATGGGTGAACAAGCCCCTCAGACCCTCCAGCGGAGATATGCGGCTGAACGTGCCCCTCGGACCCTCCAACGGAGGCAGGCTCAGGACCAGCAGGCACGGAGACCTCTGGCAGTGACAAGACGGAACCAGCAGGCGCAGAATCCTCTGCCAAAGACGAAGCTGGTTGGAGCTCCGCAGGACAGTGGCTCTGCTCAGGCAGTAACTGCAGGATGCAGTCTTTAGCTGGTCAAATGAGCTCACTAGAGCTTCCAGCATAGAACAGAGGTTGCAGAGTTAACTCCCCTGAGCTCTCAGCAGGGACAAATCGCTGAGACAGCCTGGTTGAGCTCCCAGGAAAAACAGATTGTGCTGGCTTCTTCGTTTCCAGGGGTCTAGAGTTAGCTGTGGGCTGAAACTCATTCTCTGGGGAGGCCCTGGAAAGGGTAACCATCTCTAAGTAGGCCAGGTCTTGAGGAACAACAAAAGTATTAATATGTGCGTCTCTCTGCTTATAATTAGTGGTTGAAAAACAGTTCTTTACAGGTTGTATAGACATAGCTTGCAGTACCGGTGGAGCAGGTGAAGGTAATGGCTGAATAGCTACTGGAGCTAATGTTTGACCTGCAACCAGAGCTGAAGGCAGTAGTGATGGTTGTAAATCAGGTGGTGAAGTAGAAGACTGAACTGAGGTCAGCTGGGCTGCTGACTGAAATTGAGGGCAGCTTGGCTGCTGACTAAACTGAGAGCAGCTGGGCTGCTGACTGAACTGAGGGCAGCTTGGCTGCTGACTAAACTGAGAGCAGCTGGGCTGCTGACTGAAATTGAGGGCAGTTGGGCTGCTGACTGAACTGAAAGCAGCTGGGCTGCTGACTGAACTGAGGGCAGTTAATTGAGCTTCAGGCTGGGAAGCTGACATAAAAAGCATAGTCCCAGAATAAACAGTCCCATGGTCCAATGCTTTGATATCCTGAAGTCCAGCTGTGGGGTGACACACCGGTGGTGCGGCCGTCGCTTCCTCCTCGGTGATGGCTCCGCTGGGCTGGGCAACTCCAAGTCTGGTGGGCCGGGGAGCACATCCTTTGCCGAGCTTGGTAGGTAAGCGGTAGCAGCTGGGGGGTGAAGGTGAAGCTCATTTAGAAAGAAATGAAGGGTGAAGCAAGTCCAGAAGCCAGGGCAGACCGGAAACCAGTCGGCTGACTGCATCACGCTGGAACTCCTCCTCTGGATGATCCAGCCACAGATCACACAACTTATTCACCGAATAAATGATGTCCTTCCGAAGCTCATCAGACAGGGCGAGTGCTGCGGGGTCCATGCAGTGGTTGTGCTGTTCTGTCATGATAGGTTGTGTGACAGGCAGGCCAGGTGGGCCCAAGAGCAGGACTCAAACAGGGAGTAGTGATAGGTCCTGTGTGTCAAATCTTTGAAGCATGTGTCGGGTAATCTCGGGGGAGTTTTTGTGAAGGGCGTAGCGAGGCTTGCTTTGATTACGTATGCAGTGACGTTCGAGGCAGTCCATACCATGTGACTGATTCAGGAACTGGTAGGCCGGTTCGCACCAGATTTGAAATAAAATGGGCAGCAAAACACAGCTGATTCCCCCATTACATTGTGTTGTGGAAGTGGATTATGTGCATGTTACATAGTCACTTGAGCATTTCTTCTTCGATGGAACCAGCAAGGAAAAGAAGATTTTCCCCTGTTTGGCAACATTTTGATCTCATCTCTCCTAATAAGGTATACACTGTCACGGTACTGGGTTGTGTGACCCAGTGTTTGAGTTTTATGTATTTTTGTATTCATTTTTGATCTAGTTAATTTTTAGGTTGCTGTTTAGTCCTTATTTCTTAGTTGTTTCTGTCATCTCCCCTTGTACCCAGTCTCCCTGGTTCCTGCGTCTACATATCATGTTTCATGTCTATGCGGTTATGTTAAGTTCATCTCCATGTCTATGTCTCTGTGTTTCCTGTTTTATTTTGGAAGAGTCTGGTGTTCTTTGTTCATTGTAGTTAGTGTTACTCTCCCCTGTATTGTCATTATGTTTCATTCTAGTCAGCTGTGTTCTCATGTGTCTCCACTTCCCCTGATCACCTCATGTGTGTATTTAAGTCCTCAGTCTTGCTTTGTTCGTCGTCGCGTCGTCTGTGTACTGCCCCTCTGGTCAAGTTGAGTGTTTTTCAGGATTCTGTGCAGTTCATGTTTGCCATTTGGTTTATGTTGTTTTTCATGAAGCTACACAATGAGGTTCCGTGCAGGTCATGTTCATGTCTGTTTCGTCACGCCTTTTGGTTCACAGTTTCCATGTATCTGCACAGCATTCTGTTCACAGTGATCACAGTTATTCCTTTCAGTCAGGTTAGTGTTTTTCCAGTTTAGGTTTTTGGTCAGTTGCGGTCTCTGTCCCTGTTATGTTTTGTCCACTCCCCTCTGCATCAGCCCAAATAAAGGCTCACTTTCAGTTTAAGTTCACTCCCGTCTCCTCGCCTGTGATTGCGCCTGGGTCCACCACACACACCCTCCACACGGTCTGCCCCCGCTGGCCGTGACATACACACACTAATAAATATCACAAATGTGATGCCTCAAAGGCATTTATGTCATTTATCTTTAATGTTTGCTTTAAAATAATGCATATTGTATGTATTTAAGTTAAAAAAAGAGCGGTAAAAAGAGTTAAAAATGTTAAGATTTTATTTTGAAGGTGAACTTGCTAATAACCTCACTTCCTGGTGGGTTACCTGTATTGCTTCATTTCCTGTTTACTTCCTCCTCCTGGTTCTCTAAGAGGGAGAGTGACATGCGGTCATGCTCTGAGGCTTATCCACAGCCATCCACTTGGGAACATTGTTCAGGCAATGCCGTAAGTGTATATATTTCATGATGAAGGTATTAAAAAGCATAAATAGCTGTATTTGTTAAAAACGATATTTTATTTGTAATTCATGAAGGTCGAACTGTACATGTTAAAAAAGGCATTAGTTTTGATGATCATGTTGCTCAAGCTAATACGAAGATGTAAGGTCACATTTTCAGTTATTTTGTGATGCAATATTTATGTAAACATGATCATTTTTTTCTATCCTGTATTTCTTTTCAACTTGTCACCGCTTGTCAAATTAAGATTCTGAGAGTAAAAGTTCAACTCTACTCGGACTCCTGTATTCATTGACAAGGGTTTAGCTTGGTGTTTAATCAGAGTTGCTACACTCTGCAAGAGAACACTACAACAAATGATTAGTACCATAATATAAATAAACAACACCACAGATCCTATAATCTGATTTCTGTCTTTTGGTTTATTAAAAGGTGAAGTGTTTGCTGTGCTCCAAAGAACTTGGATACAGCAACAACACCTCATCTATGCTGAGGCATTACAGAGCCCTGCATGAGAACAAGGAGACTAACCAAGGTGGACCAAGCTCAAGTCATTTTTTTTTTTTTTTTTAAGTTTTAAGGATACAGTCATTTGATACATTTATATTCCCCATGTCATTTATTTATATTTGGGTTGTAATTACTGACATATGTAATTTCTTAATAATTTTTTTGTTTTATCAGGGAAGAGAATGATGTGGATGAGGCCTTGGTCAACATGGTGATAGAGGATTCCCCGCCCTTCACTATTGTGGAGGACAGTGGGTTTAGAAAGCTTGTTAAAGCTTTGAACCCTAACTATGTTCTCCCCACAAGGCAGGTATGTATCTTAAAATATGAAGCATGTTTCTATTGCTTTATTTTCTATTTTCTATTGCCTATATTTCCATATTAAGAGCTGCACTTCCTTTTGTTTAGGCTTTGAAATCTATGGTGGACAAAAGATACAAAGAATCAAAACAAAAAAAAAAACTGACTGTGGCCAAGACTTCTACAGTTAGTTTGACATCTGATATGTGGACCTCCAATAACACAGAGGCTTACCTAGCTGTCAACTGCCATTTCATCGATTCTAACACTGCATTGCATTCTGTAGTGTTAGGTGTTCACATACAATGTGCTCAAGCACATACTTCTATCAATTTGTCACAAGTAACAGCACCGCTCATGTCTAATTGGGGCATTACAGTTACATGTTATGTGACTGATGGAGCAGCAAACATGGGTGCTTGTGCTA